GAAAGGTTGATGAGGTATGGGGTTACTACTAACGCTCATTGTTGCCTTTGTAACTCATCTATGGAATCTCTGACCACTTATTTTTTCATGTCCTTTTTCTAAGTCTATTTGGAGTAGGATCCTTATGCTTGCTGACCTTGGCTATGTGGTAAGACCCTGGCATGATTACATCCTCCATTTGGCAAGGAAATGGAAAGGTAAGAGCCTAAAATTCACTTTGGGTAGGCTCTGTTTAGGGGCTACGGTTTATTGGATTTGGAGGGAGCGGAATTCACGGTTTTAGGGGTGACTATAAGGATTCGTTCACCATAATTGATGTTATAAAAGTGTTGTGCGAGACAAAGCTATGGATCTTAGGAATGTCAAAGTATCCTATAGCAATAGGAAGTTGGCGAATGATTGGGACCTGCCTAGATCTATTTTCAAAATGTTCCTCAAGTTCTCGACACAGTTTGAAGATTGGATTACGGAGCGTTACGCAGAATGGTTTTTGCTTGTTGTGTTTGTATCATTTGTAACGAGTTTGATATTGTGTTTTTCCTTTGTTTTCTTTTAAATGATCCTAACCTAGGGAGGTGTCCTATGGTAAGTGGAATTGTTGCTTTCTTCTTGGTTTTTGCGGTTTAAGATTAACCCCAAAGTGAATGGCCGTTTGTAGGCTGTTCCTTTGATTCCTATTTTGGGGCATGTCCCAAAATAGGTTGTTCGCCCTTTATCAGCCTTTGTACATTCTTCTCTTTTTTAATATATTTACTTAACAAAAAAAAAAAAAAAAAAAATGTTAGCCACCTCTTTCATTTTCTGAATATACTCCGAATACTCAAGAACCTTTGGTCGTAGTTTGAAAAATGCCTATGTACATAACCTAGGCCTAGCTTGAGTAGAATCAATTTCTCAGGTTTGAGCCAAATCTGTTTAGCACTTTGGCATTTGATGATATGTAGCACATAGATTCAGAGATAGATATCAACCGATCATAAGCAACTGATCCATTCAATTCCATCAGCAAAAGCAGAATTAAATCAGGCCAAAGGAGATTAAAAATCGTTACAGAATGAGTAGAATGAATTCAGGAGGTGAGGCCTTAAACCATGAGAAAATGTTCGAGATCAAGGCTCTAACTGCAGATAGAACTTGTGCGCGCCAAAATGAGTAATTCTTCTGGAGCAATTTGATTGTAATTGGTGGAAGAGTAGAGACGATAAAGGAGAAAAGGAGTACACAGCAGTATTAGTCATCTGATCATGTGAAATTTACATGCTCATTTGTCTGCGTGAATGGTGTTTTTGTGTGATTGGAGAATTCAGTGTTTGGTTCTGAGAATTTGAGGGAAATTTTTCTAGAGCTCTGATACCATAAGAATAAGAATTCTAGAGAAAGTTTTGTTAATTACTGAAATGATTTTTCATTAACAAGAGTACTTGTAGTTTATATAGTAGTAGATCACAAGCATGTCTGAGTCAACTACTGGTGACGTGTACAAACAAGGCTAACTTGCACCTTATATTTTCTAACATCAGCACAACGAATCCTTATAAAACAGAATTCTTCTAAACTGCTGCTTTCAAAATGTATTGTATTTAAGGGTATGTCTTCTCCAGTGAAGCATGCTCTTTTTTGAATACTCATCTCTTTATTTAAACTTTGTAATAATTTGCTGTTTATTGCCAGATTATGCCAAAAGGGTGAAAAAAAAGAAATATTTAAAAAAAAAAAAAAAAAAAAAAACCCTTCAATACAAGTAAACTCCTAAATTAATAACATGGCACTTTTTAGTAGCTAATCTTGAATGGCCTGAAAGCTTTAAGATCAAGTGTTACACCTACAATAGAGCCAACTCCAGCCACAATAGAAATCTTAGGCAAAACACACTCAACAGTCGGTGAATATCCACTTGGTCCTCCACTTTTCTTCTTCTTCTGTGCAATTACATCTCAATCGGAAAATAAACAGTTAGAGGCCAAAAAATCAATGCTCCAAATTCCTAACACACGTTGAACAACGGCACCAACATTGCAATTACTGTTGTAACTACAAAAAAGATCGCCACACTATTCGAAATAAAGAGATGTAATGCCTGAAACCTGGGATGTTATTTTTATCTCTTTTTTCTTTTAATGATCCTAACCTAGGGAGGTGTCCTATGGTAGGTGGGATTTTTGGTGTTCTCTTTACTTTCTTCTTGGTGTTTATCTCCCTTTGTTGTTTTTGATAAACCCCTAGAGCGGTTGGCTGTTTGTAGGCTTGTTTCTTTTGTTTCCTATTTTCGGGGCATGTCCCAAAATAGGCTGGTCGCCTTTTATTAGGCCTTTGTACATTGTTCTGTTTTCTTTAATATTATTACTTACTTATCAAAAAAAAAAAAAAAGCCTGAATATACCTCTGATATTACTCTGAAAATTCCTTGAGATTTCTTTTGTTTGAATCAGGTTTCATATGCCTTAGGTATGCTTACAAATACCTTGGATAAAGTTTGTTTATTTGTTCATGGCTGGAACGTGGGTTGCCATTAGTGATGCTTGATGGGATTTCAAGCTTTTGGAGTTGAAGTGCGTCTTCGGTGTTGATCCTTGAGAGGAGCTTAAGGCTAACTAGGTGGTCTCATGTTCATAGAGCTAGTTGTGGTAGTACGTAGTTTGACCAAAGGGTAGAGATTGAAGCGTTACAAAACAGGGAGTGTTCTTGCAACTGAGGCTTAATCTTTGGCTTTGTAATTAAACTGAAAAGTATACTATAGTGGATTAGCTTCATTCTAGACTTGGTCCCATGGATGTAGGCATTTCGTCGAACCATGTAAAAACCTAGTGTTCTTTATTTTGGTTCATATTTGATTGCTTTTATGTTTATGATAAATAGACATTAAAATCAACTTAGCAACTCATTCCGCTTAGGTTTAATACACTTGGTAAAGTATTAAAACTTTCAAACTCAAACTCAAACTAATAGGAAAACAATTAATTCTAAAATAGAATTCTAAAACTGGAAACTAAGTCTAGCCTCGTCACGTTTTTGCCTTTCTCTTGTGCACGCTACGGCGATGGTTTTTGTCGCTGCGGTGATCGTTCTTCAAGACAACGCATGTCGCGGCTATCTTTTTGTCGCCATGGCAACTAAGTGGTCTGCTTCTTCCATTCCATTTCTACAGCCCTTTGATTCTTTGACCATTACCACATTTGATTTCACCCAAAAAAAGGTTCATACTTCAACAGCCTTTACCACCAGACCTACCCCTTCCTTGACCTTAAGAGCCATTAATCTGACATGAATTATGCATTTGATTCCAAGGATAAGTATGGAACTGAGGAGTGGATGTTGAATTAGCAACATAAATTGTTGTACTATTAATATCGTTAACATCCACCGTATATAATGTGTTCTGTTTGTTGGAATGTGAAAATTTTTTGGTAATTGAGGAAGAAAAGACAATCAAGAAGAAAAGGCAAATAAGAAGTAAAAGGAATTTAAGTTTTAGTCAAATTTCTAGGTTAGGAATTTGTAATTGAGAATAATTGCTTTCCTTTTTCTATTGTGAGATGTATTAGGAAAGAAGAATTGGTTTAGGATTTTATTTAAGTTAAAATACAAGAATGATTTAAATTAAAACCAGTTCAAGGTTATGAGAAAGTGAAGTAAAAGAAAGAAAGAATATGAGGATACAAGGGGTTCTAATGTAAGGGTATCATAGGGTAAAGGGCTCTACGTATTAGGTAAATACCAAGGGGTATTAAATACTATATGAACAAGATGTTCGGCTGAAGAATTAGAGAATCCAACGATCACTCAGAATGAAGGTTGATGGTGTGATAAAACACTTGTATCTTTTTCATATTATTATAGTGAAAACCTTCTCATCCGTGGATGTAGGTAAGTTATGCTGAACCACGTAAAATATAGTGTGCTTTTATATTTTTTTTTTCCTCCTCTGATTTTCAACACTGTTTAGCTAGCCTATTCTCATAAGCTTGAAGCTCAAATTGAGCTTCATCTAGTGAAATAGTTCCTCCTCTTGAAATCAAAGAAATTAGGTTGACCATGACTACATCAAATTCAGAACCTAATCCATTAAGAATATACAAAATAAGCTCAGAATCACTAAGATCTGTACCAGAAGCTGTTTACATGTTAGTGACCTCTTTCATTTTCTGAATATACTCCTGAATACTCGAAGAACCTTTGGTCGTAGTTTGCAAAAGATGCCTAATGTACATAACCTGAGGCCTAGCTTGAGTAAGAATCAATTTCTCAAGTGTGAGCCAAATCTGTTTAGCACTTTGGCATTTGATGATATGTAGCAGCATAGATTCAGAGATAGATATCAACCGATTCAAAAGCAACTGATCCATTCAATTCCAATCAGCAAAAGCAGAATTAAATCAAGTCAAAGGAGATTTAGAATCGTTACCAGAATTGAGTAGAATGAATTCAGGAGGTGAAGGCCTTAAACCAGTGAGAAAATGTTCGAGATCCAAGGCTCTAACTGCAGATAGAACTTGTGCGCGCCAAAATGAGTAATTCTTCTGGAGCAATTTGATTGTAATTGGTGGAAGAGTAGAAGACGATAAAGGAGAAAAGGAGGGTACACGAACAGTATTAGTCATCTGATCTGTGAAATTTACATGCTCATTTGTCTGCGTGAATGGTGTTTTTGTGTGATTGGAGAAATTCAGTGTTTGGTTCCTGAGAATTTGAGGGAAATTTTTCTAGAGCTCTGATACCATAAAGAATTTAAGAATTCTAGAGAAAGTTTTGTTAATTAACTGAAATGATTTTTCATTAACAAGAGTACATTGTAGTTTATATATTAGTAGATCACAAGCATAGTCTGAGTCTAACTACTGGTTGACGTGTACAATAGCAAGGCTAACTTGCACCTTATATTTTCTAACATCAGCACAACGAATCCTTATAAAACAGAATTCTCTCTAAACTGCTGCTTTCAAAATGTAATTGTAGTTAAGGGTATTGTCTTCTCCAGTGAAGCATGCTCTTTTTTGAATTACTCATCTCTTTATTTAAACTTTGTAATAATTTGCTGTTTATTGCCAGATTATGCCAAAAGGGTGAAAAAGAAAATATTTAAAGAAAAAAAAAAAAAAAAAAACACCTTCAATACAAGTAAACTCCTAAATTTAATAACATGGCACTGATTTAGTAGCTAATCTTGAATGGCCTGAAAGCTTTAAGATCAAGTGTTACACCTACAATAGAGCCAACTCCAGCCACAATAGAAATCATTAGGCAAAACACACTCAACAGTCGGCTGAATATCCACTTGGTACTCCACTTTTCTATCTTCTTCTGTGCAATGTACATCTCAATCGGAAAATAAACAGTTAGAGGCCAAAAAATCAATGCTCCAAGAATTCCTAACACATCGTTGAACAACGGCACCAACATTGCAATTACAATAGTTGTAACTACAAAAAATGATCGCCACACTATTCGAAATAAAGGTAGATTGTAATGCCTGAAACCTGGGATGTTAATTTTTATCTCTTTGGTTATGAATTTGTTTTCCGAGAATTTTGTTGATGCTAGTTTTTCTATAAAGGCGAAAACGGGTTGGCAATAGACTTGATAAGCTCCTAGGAGATGGATGACAACGGCAATGTTGGCAATATCAAGTAGCCAAAATGGGTTATAGAAGGAAAATCCTGTGAGGAGATTGCCAGGAGCTAAATCTCCAACAGCTGCATAGCCCATGCATCCACAAAGCATATAGAATGATGTGGTTACTAAAGTGCTTATTAAATTGGCTTTTTTCATTGTTGTTGCTTCTGATGGTGGTGGGGATTTGATTGTGTCCTGTCAACCAATTAGCAAGCCATTTATCAGTGCAATTTAGAAGGTTAATATGTGTGTGTGTTATTTTATTTAATTGGGAGAATATCATAAACAACTTTATGGTTCGGATGACAATTTTTGCATTTTTATTAAATAAACCCTCTAACTTTGAAAAATGTATAGCAGATTCCCTTTTGCTCTAAATCCAAAGTTATCATTTCACTTATATATACCACAAACGGCAACATAACAGACTTAGAGCAAAGGGGTATCCATGATATAGTTTTCAAACTTTGAAGGCCTATCTAATAAAAATATTAAAATTGTCATCCGAATGATAAATTTAATAACCTTAAGGGTAGTTCATGATATTCTCCGTTTTTTATTTCATGGGTTGAAGAAGAGGTCTTCACCTGAACTTCAATTAGGATGAATGAATAAGAGTAGGAAAAAGCTATGTCACCAATAGCTTGAAGACTCCTCCATATCTTTTCGGTTTGAGTTATACTTCCAACTGGGATTCCTGTTAGACTACCCTTGAGAGTTCCAGTGGCTGTATAAATATAGGAGAAATATAAGTAAAATTGGCATTGGAAGAATCAATCATTCAAATAAATTTACACATGTACCTGCAATTTTGGCTACAGCAAGGCCGAGTCCAATTGTTGAGTAAGTAAAAGACATAATTGCGGCAACAATTGAGAGCCACCATAACTGATCAAGGCCTGGAATCTGAGACAACACAATCTCTATGATTCCAAACATTATCATGTATGGGTTGCTTGAAGTGTGGCATGGTTTTTTTCTTCCACTCTTGTGAAAACAATTTGATTTGTGTATAGCCCTGTGCATAAAATTAAACATAATAAATAAATCTTATCTTAAAACATATCATATCATTTATATGTTCATGATTCAGTCGAACTCACGTCATGCTAATAGACGTTGCAATAGCATACCCAATGCTAATGCCAAAAAGGTTCACATACTGAAACAACCCACATATCTTGACCTTAAGCCCACCTGAGATACATGTTTAGAAAATGAGATACTGTGCTGAAAATATACAATGGTTTAATTAAAATATGGAAAGGTGGTAATTTATACCAAGATTAGATCGGACGGCACCCATGTAAGTGTAATTTCTCTTGCCATTGATAGGATCACCGAACCTGTAGCAATCAGCGAGTAGAGATGCAGTATAATAATTAACCAAGGCGAACATGAGCATCACAGATGGACCGGCGATCCATCCGAGCTGAGCTATTGCCCATGCCAAAGAAAGCACTCCAGAACCGATCACTGCTGCTATTATGTGTGCACTTGTTGTCCAAATTGTGCCTGCAGGTAGATATGAAATATATTAAGAATTATAATGTAAATTAAATAGTTGAAGTACTCTAATTTTGATTGACAAGTTTAATTAATTTACCTGTGCGTTTGGGACGACCATCGTCATCAAAATATTTGGACTCGTCAACTGGGTTGTTGAGGCTTTTGACGGGAATATGGTCGTTCAACTTCAGCACAGAGCGATAATTTGTGATGAGAAAAATAAGAAATAAATATGTAAATAACACATTATGTCTACAACATTTAATTCACAAGGGACGTTTGCTTTCTGAGCAATTTCATGTTGGTTGATAGATTAATAATGCCATACGTCAACATTTATCTATATCTCACAAATATGCATGGGAACTTTTACATGCGGTTACACAATTACTCTAATATGAATAGTTGGTCTAATATCATGTATTATTTTATATTCCATATATTATAACTATAACTAAATCCTAAACTAACAAAATGCTGGCAGCATTAAATTTCTTATTGCCATGAAAAGAATAGAATTATTAGTATATGTTATCATGCATGAAGTTAATTAAAAGCATACACTTACCTGCATTTTCAGCCCCTCTAATTTCTTCAACTATGAAACAAGTTAACCAGCAGACACGAGACTATATGTAATATTGAGTAGAGGTAGATGGGAGATGGGATTAGAGTCTCCCTTTGCTATCAATATATATATTAATGGAAGCATAAGACCCTAAGGATGTACACAAGGTCACATTTTATATTAAACAACTTTAATTAACTTTTCCTTCTGGCCCTTAATGGTGGAAGTTATACTCATTACTCAGCTACCCTCTTTCTCCCTAAATCGAATATTTTTAAGCCTCCTATCCTAACCCTACCAATACCAATACCAATACCATGACCATGCATCTTCTTTCTTTAAATCACTCCATCTTTCATTGGTTAATTAGTATATATATAGATTGTTTAATGATTATGGGTTTTAAACACAGATTAATCTTCTTCTTGGAGTGGCTAGCTATCAACTCCACCTTTCTTCTAGTCAGCTTTGGCTTGCTATCAAATGATAATTTATAAAGTTTTAAACATGAATTTATTTAATTTGTTTTGAAACTCGAGCCTGTTTGATTTATTATTCAAAAATAATTTTCCAAAACTAAAATACAATTTAAATTTTTGAGTTGTATCTCAATATTTTTAATATACCAAAATGTTTTTGATATGACATTCAAAAACTGTTTTTGAACTAAAAATATTAGAAAAATGTGAAAACAATCATTTTTTGGTTTTATTCTAGCTTTTAGGATTGCATCTAAAAACTGTTTTTAGAAATATTTCGAATCATTTCTATTAGATGCATTCTCATAAGATTTTTATATCCTTTGTTTACAAAAAAAAAAAAAATAAAAAAAAAAAATAATGTATTTAAATTCTTATCAAATCGCCCTTACAATTTATTATTATTATTATTATTATTATTATTTTTATTTTGAGGTCAATTTTCTTTAAATTCTTAATTCGGGATTTTCATTATAGTTTTGATGATTTAGACATCTTATTGTTAAAAAACAGAAAAAAAAAAAAAAAAAAAAAAGGAACGGATCTTAATTAGCCATGTATTAATACTAACAATCACATCCATATCAATCATAAAACACTTTATAGTTAAAGTGAAGATATAGATTATGATAAACTGCATCAAAATGGGTGGTTGTAATTATGATTTGGAACTTGAACATTGGCTCTTTCTTTTACTGTTTTACAACTCCCACTGACAAAAGTGAAACATTAAAAATGAAATTGAATTAATGAGTGAACAGAGTGTTCAATACTTTTTTATTTCCAGAATATAGGCTAAATATATGTCAAAAAATACCCCAATCAACTTTACTTTAGAAATAAAATAATCAAAGCAAAACCAATAATTTGAATTACTTAACTGAGATAAAAAGTAGTATCTAATTCCCTCATTTCTTCTCTTTTTTTATTGGGATCATATCAGCATCTCTGATTTCAATAGACTCTATAATGCACAGGTGAATATCTTGGAATTAGAAAAGAGATTTTAAGAAATTGTCTTACTTACACCAAAGTGAAAGAAGTTTCAATTTAATTATTTTTAAAATTTTTATGAAGGAATAGGTGTGTACTACTTTTAATTGATTGTATCTTTTGATCTCATAAAAAGAATGAAAGATATTTTCATTTTCAAACATTCTTTGATAAGGTTGAGATATTTTTGAGAACTAAAATTATTTTTTTAATATGAAAATAAGTTTTACAAGGATATATATTTAACACTATCAAATTGTGAGATTGTAATTGCTTTTTCATATTTTATTTTATTTAAGTTATATCCTTAATTTTCTCTTCATTGTTGCTATACTTTTACATAAATAATGAAAGTCGATTGACCTTGGTAAAATTGGATTGAATTTGTGTAATTAATAAAAATCAGCAAAGAATAACAAATAAAGAACACAAGTAGTTTTAAAGTGGTTCAGCAAATTCAGATTTAAGCTTAAGTTTACTGTTATCTTATTAATGCTTTGAATATAAAAATAAATATAATTTCTCTCTGGAATTGCTAACCCTTTATAATTAGTTTTCTGGGGTTAGTTATACAAGAATTTTGTAACGGTAAGTGAGTGATTTTAAGGATCACAACTCAATCGGGAAGTTAATCCCATGATCGGCGTGATCACGTCAAATCTGGGATTAGATGATAAGGTTTGAAAACTTCCCTTTGATATTAGACAATAAGGTTTATTTGTAATCTGTGAGACAACTGTCCATTCAGCTTGCTCATAAGCTTAGCTCGCTGCACCGAGCTTCACTTTCCCCAAGCCGCCATTACTTCCAAGCTTGTCAAAAACTCTCGCACAACATTCATCAATCCCACAAAAGATCCTATTTTGTTGGTTTGTATTTTTCAATAGAAATTATTGCTGGGTTAGAACTATCCATTTTAATGTGGAATGGCTTGATTGATTTAATCTTTGATAAAATATTTGTACAGATTTTTTTTTTTTTTTTTAAATTTCTTTTCAATTCGTAATTTGACTATATAAATTGTGTTTTGGGAAAAAGAAATGGTAATTGAGGAAAAACAGCACAAGTAAATGAAATAAAGTGGTGATATTCAAAAAGAAAAAAATGAATGAAAGATATTTATAAGAAGTAAAACTATTTAAAGAACTTTTAATTTGAGTGTGCAAATAGATGAGGTTTCTCTTCTTTAACTCAAAATAAGATTAAATTTGTTGTCGGTCCATAAAACTAGAATAAGGCAATTGAAGTTGAACCATATGATATAGTTATTTATGTTTAAGAAATTGAGGAAATGTCAATAAATATAGTTGCCAAATTATTAGTTATTACAATTGCTTTTATCAAAGTCTACCAACCTAAACACTACTGCCGAAGTAATCATATATTTCCTTATCTTTTCATTTAGACTTCAAAGTTGGACAGTGTCTTATCTTTTAAGCTGAAATGATTAAGATGCTTAATGGTTATCAAAAGAAAACATCTTATTACCTATTCTCATGCGCAAAATAAAAAAAACAATATTTCCTCCCTCGCAATATGGCCATATATTTTATTTTTGCAAACCAGAAATTTTGAAACTGAAGCATGAATTACTTTATGCCATCAAACTCGGGGGCACATAATTGGCGTGATGAAAATTTCCAGTTAATCAAACAAATATCATTGCTTGAACAATATTGATGATTAGCAGTACGCTGTGTACTTAAATTTCTCGACATCAACTCAATTTAGAAATTTGAACACTTTATCTTCCATAACAAAACATTCTACCCATAAATGAAGAATAATTCTTTCTCCCTCCTGCTAGGAGGGATTTGAGAGAGCTAACTAGTTTTTACAAAAATTTAATCGTCCAATCATCTGCAATCCGTACACCAGGTTTCCGGATGGTTACAACAGCAGGACTACGCCCCCCTTGAAGTCGAAGTGGTGCATGCTCAATTTCAGTCTTCTGGTTTGCTGGTTGAATCATAGCACCCTTCAATCCACCACTGTATCCAAGTAGAATAATCCTCTCAATGATGCAATCTGATGAAAACTGGGATTTGCCAGCAGTAGGAACCACGTTTACAGATGTAAGTTGGCCATTGGAGAAACTAAATCGGCGATGGATAAAGGCCCCATTAAGAAATTCAAAACTTTTCCCATCATCAACATACAGTTCACCTTCAGCAGCTTGAGAACTGTTTAAGGCCACCACCTACATCAACAGAGCGATGCAAGAGTTTATTGAGTGCATGAAACAAACATAGCTTCACTATAATTGATTGCGCATTATGCTTTTACTTGGTCGCCAACCCAATGGTTGCACTAACCCAATAATGTTATCAAACAGGTAAATAACGGTACCCCCAGATAACAATAAAAAAAATGTAATAACAGTCCTAGGCGTGGACACCCTGTGAGAACTGAAATAGCTTATCCATAATAGTAGCTTGCTTGTTTGCTCAGAATTAAATGCAGACAGCATTTAGCATATGCTGTTTAGGCTATCTTAAGAACAAATCCAAGCAAAGTTTTATATTGTTCGCTCAGAATTAAAACTGGACTCATCATCACTATGATCATAAATTCCAGATATGTCTGGCAAGATGAGCAGAAGGTATTGTAATAGATTACATCCTTCAATGGACTGACTCCAGTTGATGTGTGATATTCTTGTCCACCGTCATTGCAGTAACTTATGTTTACATACTTTTGCAAATCTTATTCCAAAATCACCCTCAAACAAACACATGTAAAGCTGCCCATTTACAATCTTCTCTTTCAAATAACGATTTTAGTAATGGTATTAGAACCAACTAAATTTTATGCTAGATTGATGACCTATGTTAAAATAAGAAAAATTCTATAGATTTTGAAGACAAAATCAAACAAATTTTAAAAATAAAAAATAGAATAACACATGTAATAACTAGATACAAGTAATGCAAGGTTAAGAATATGATGCTCAAAATTAAGACACTCATGTGATTTGGGTATTGAAGCACAATCCATAACGGTCATAGTGGCATCAACTACTTACCAAGGTGAAAGGATCATTAACCATCTGAGTGGAACTTCGGCGAAACCGGTCTCTCCTTGGTATAATTGTTCCAGCCCGTTGAAAAGCAGGAATATACTCTTCTGAAACCTCCAGTTTATGGGTAATACCTCCTTTAACTGCAGTTCCAGTTCTCATGTCATACCAAGATTCTTTCCCAGGCAAATATACTGATGCATGTTTAGCTCGCTGGTTCAAGAAATAATATAGTGCTTCAGTTTGTGCACCTTAAGAGGAGAAAATGAGAAATAAAAAATAAATGGCAGGAGAGCAAGCAAGAATAAAAATATCTGGCCACTGGAGTACCTCAGTGTAGATTCCTTGCACCAAAAGTGCATTTCCAACCATAAAAGCTTCATCATTTTTAAAAGTTGTTTCATCAGATGGGAATTCCATCCACAATGGACGCACAACAGGAATACCAGTAGAGTTTGCCTCTCTGAATAAAGTGTAGAAATATGGGAGCAACGTGTAACGGACATGTATGGCTGCTCTGATAAGTTCTGTATTTCTCTCTCTGTAATGACATAACATAATTCAGGAAACGATAGATAACAAATCTTGAAGGAGTGGATTTACAGTTTAAGGATGCAAATCACAATATGGTGAACT